GTTCGTTCGTTCGTTCGTTCGTTCGTTCGTTCGTTCGTTCGTTCGTTCGTTCGTTCATGGCTGGGTCGTGTTGGATTTGCAGTTCATTTTGGGGATGTCTTAGAGGACGCCATCTTGGAAATAAAACAGTCCCACAATGCATTGCAATGCCAACTCGACCCAGTTTTTTCCTTAAACTCGGAAAGGCCAATACCTCAACTGAGTATGCAGTTCTAATGATTCCAGTCAGGCTCGTAGGCTTAACGTGCGGAATCTTCATACTCATGCCTTCGATATTCGCATCCTGCCCTCTCGCTACGCCTTCTGTTCTTGTACGACACAGGTGTTTTTCTTTATCTTGACGCTCTCGAATTTCTGTAAGACAGAAAACTTAACTCATAAATATTTTAGACATGCATACCGTGGGTTTTTTTATTCAGTGATTTTTTCCACCCATGAAAGAAATTCATGACTGTACCGTATCCGTTACTAAGCGCGCTGTAAGTCAGTATCGTATGTTTCCCACTCATACGAGAACCATTGTTATGGGAAACCATTTCAATGTTACGGCATGTCGTACCGTGTACGTGATGCAAGTCAGTACCGTATGTTTTCCACTCATACGAGAACCATTCTTATGGGAAGCCATTTCAATGTTACGGCATGTCGTACCGTGTGTACGTGCTGTAAGGTCAGTACCGTACGTTTCCCACTCATACGACAACCATTCTAATATAGAGCTYGATAGGGCATTTTGATTGTCATCATAGTTCTACCCCCGGGGGGGGGGGGTACTCCCCTATATTTGCTATATGGGTATGTGCCGCCCTATAGGGTATGGTTTTTCGGCTTTTGAGTCTGGGGTAGGGTATCATTTTTTGACATTTTTTCTGGGATAGGGTATCATTTTAGTCTGGGATAGRGTTAACGATTTGGTCGTTTTTGTCTGGCGAATAGGCTACGCTTTCTGCCGACAGAAAAACAATAAAAATGTTAGTAAATATTGTTTGCAATCGATTGTAAAACCGTATTTTCCGTCTTGTAGTCTGGGATAGGGTCTACAATTCTTAGTTTTAGTCTGGGGTAGGGTATGTAAAATCAAAATTTTAGGTCTGGGATAGGGTCAGGGTTTTGAGGTCCTGGCGGCACACCCCTACCCAAGTTGGGGTGGTAGTACCCCCCCGGGGTTCTACCGCTGTACTGCTGCCTTCTCCCTTCCCTACCWTCCCGGGCCCAGCGACTACCCTGAAGTCTGCATACTACATGGTCAGCGATATTGTTACTTACTAGTTCCGTAAGCATAAGTCGTCCTTTGACACAAGTACATCTCAATATCCGTGACGTCACGACTGGATTTATTATCGATGTATAACGATGCCATGACCTCGTCACCAACATAATACCCTCCTCGGTCTAGCCTGGCCGTAATGGACAGGGAACCAGTAGAACAGCAGGTATAGCCGATACTTCTGGTCTGTTGTTGTCGTTGAATTGTCTGAAAGAACAGTGAGGAAAATCACCAAAGACCGGGGAAAAATCCTTGTCGCACAGGAAAAAACCAACAAAGCAACACACTGGCAGGCAGGTCTGAGGGTTGAACTTAAAGYCAGGCAGTCGTGAGAAGTGGCGCCTTCACGGCATCACACAACCACCGTCTTTTATTAAACTGCTTCGGGCTCTAAGTTACGATRTGTTCTATAAATATTGGAGTTTTCTTGTGACTGTGAAAAGCTGGCGGCAAGAACACGGTCATGACATTGCAAGGCACACGTCAAGCCATTCACGTTGCGCGAGTATTTACTTTCCATCCAATCAAATACTCAGAACAAGGGAAGAACACGTCACGGTGACGGTCACGCAAGGGTAACGCCACTACCAGACCAATCACATTGCACGAGAAAAAATCAGCCAATCAAAATTCAAGAAAACATGGTCACGGCACGGCACTCTTACGGCACTGAGCTTTTCAATAATAGGTTTACTATAATAGGTGCTATGGTTTGACTATGTGTCATTTTCTTGATATTGATCCTTTCAAATTTCAAACTTTTGCTTGTAAATTACGAGAAAAAAGAGACTTACTAATAAMGATTCGTCGATGACGACAAAATCGATGACAGGGACATTGATGGCCGTGGTGTCATCGATCATCTGGTTAGGCCTTTTGATCCGAGCCTCGATCGTGTACCTGATGTAACCACGCCTCCCTGAGTGAGAACCAGGAAGATCTGCATCAAYAGGCAGATGGAAGGAGAATGGGAACGAGTAGTGCCCAGGCCTTAAAACACCACCCATGTGTCGTACTTGAACTAGAGGATTTGAAACATTGA